CCCTCTATGAGTGCGACCAAAGGAGAAACCACAACGACCACAGGGTTTTCATTGTGTCCCATCTTCTTAGTTACCATCGGAGCCAGCTGATAAATTAAACTTTTGCCGAATCCCATAGGAAGGACGGCAAACACATCTTTCCGATCGACAAATGCCTTGATTGCAGTTCTCTGTTCGTCTTTTAAAATGAATGCGCTGTCGATTTCTTTTACAACGGACGCGATAGCGGAATCTCTACATCTCAGTTCTCCAGCGGCAGTCATCTCTGAGGGAAACCAGTTCAACCCAAGCGCTCTTTGATAACGTGAGGATTACGTCCCTGCAGATCATCTGTCCATCATCGTATAAAGCCCGCCCTGGCAATTTGATTGGCCCGACGATTTCTGAACCGATCATACTTACTCCTCAATGGAGCGAGTCCAGACCGAACTTCCCGATCAAAAAATGTTGTGGGCGGGGTTCGGGCTGGCATCCAGGCTACCCTTGTGGTATTTTGACCAAATATGAAATATGACAAAATAATGTCACAGCTGTCTTATAAAGATATCTTATGTCTTATAAAGACCTCAGATGTCAACTTGTGTAAACATGACGGTGCATGCAAGTCGATGACATGAATCAAAGTAACTCCACAAAAACTACATAAATGTATCCACTAACCATTTAGAAACATCCAGGTGCGTCTAAAAGTTGCAACCTCTTCCTGAGTCTGTCCGTAAGGTTTCACTCCGCTACTGGAGATTTTGGATGAGTGAGATTCGCGCGGATCGGCCGTCTTCTGAACTGAGGTGGGGAGCAGCAGCTCATTTGCATTTAAAGGGACATACACCACACAAATGGGGTAAATTTAACAAGCTATAATAAATGGTCTGGGGGGTATTTTGAACTGAAATTTCACAGACACATTCTGTGGACACCATTGATTTATATTACATCTTGTGAAAAGGGGCAGAATATGTCCCCTTTAAATGAATATTGAGGAATATTGTGACGTACGTTCCCGGAAGAAAACTACAATCAAGGCATTTCAGGGAGTTCAGAAACAGTGCTTACAGATATGGAGAATCCTGTAACTCCCTTTGGAGTGGACTTTGTGTTTTGTAACTTTGCAGACCTTTTTCATGCACAAACAGCAACTTTACAAACTAAAGAAAGTTGAAAATGTAAAAAAAGAAAAAAAAAGTGTAATAGGTCCTCTTTAAAAACAGACCAACTGTGAGCTACGAGGTTGTTAATGGATGGTATGCTTTTGTTGAAGCCATATACACTCACCGGCCACTTTATAAGCTACACCTTGCTCGTACCCCTTGGCTTCAGAACTGTCTTAATTCTCCGGCGTAGATTCAACAAGGTGCTGGAAACTACTCTGAGATTTTGGTCCAAATTGACATGATAGCATCACGCAGTTGCTTGTCCAATAATGGTGAGCCCGTGTGAATTGTAGCCTCAGTTTCCTGTTCTTAGCTGACAGGAGTGGCACTGGTGTGTCTTCTGCTGCTGTAGCTCATCTGCTTCAAGGTTTATTCTGCAGACCTCGGTTGTAATGAGTGGTTACAAGTTACCATTGCCTTTCTTTTAGCTTGAACCATTTTCTTCTGACCTCTGGCATCAACAAGGCATTTTCGCCCACAGAACTGCCTCTCACTAAATATTTTCAGTTTTTCGGACCATTGTCTGTAAACTCTAGAGATTGATCCTCCATCCACTGCCATTATAAAGCTTGGAAGAGCCAGGACATTTTTTATATATATCTCCGATTGTATTCGTCTGAAAGAAGAATGTCATATACAGCTGGCTTGAGGGTGAGTAAATCATGGGGTAATTTTAATTTTTGGGTGAACTATCCCTTTAAATATAAAAAAAATTGTGTGTATTTGGTTTAGTTCATGACTCTTTAACAAAGACCTTTTTAAAATCCCCATGGGAAAAATTAATGGGCAAAATACTTTATAAAAAGTGGGAAGTCACTGTGTTACAATTATTGATTACACATGGATAAAAAATACAGATATGTGCCGAATAACACATCCTAATATATCACTAGTTAGTTTTGGTCAACAAATATTTGCCTATCCCTGTGTGGAATTCGATTTTAACTTTCCACTGAGCTAAGAAAATACTGCAATTCCCTGATGAGTCTGCATCGCAAGAAGTGATGTGACAGCACTTTTATCCCACAGGCAGTAAAATCTTTGCAGCATCATTTTCTCCACTCAAATAGTTATTGATGTTGAGACATGGTGATGTTCATGAGATTGTCCTGACACTGCAGTTTAAACAGTTCTGCCAGGCAGTAAACCCTTAAAATGCTTAAGAAGCCTGTCATACATCATGTCACGGGGAAACAGTACGTGCCCATGCCACAAAAGGAAATAAACTTTCACTACCTACAGATGGTGATTCTGGGGTCCCAGGAAGGCCTTGGCTCATAAAGAGCACAAGGCACTGTCTTATTTCTCTAGTTGTGTTTTTGCCCAGATGTGGGCCAAGTCAGCAGGCTTTACGGTCACCGATGTAATTATACAGCAGCTTAGCAGCTCAAACAATGAAACAGCCTGTTCACCATTTACAGCCTCCCAACTCCCACTCATAAAATAATATGCCAAAATCAATAAGCTTCCAGATATGTCTCGGAAGGCTGATACATCTCGGCGAGAGTACCATTCTGATGGAGCACAAATCCAGCCTAACAAGCTGGGGGGGAAGAGAAGGGTTAATTGGCATGTTGGAGCTGTCCTTCAAAAGCTGGAGAGTGAACAGAACCAACTAAAGATGAATGAGACTGAGGGGGTGTCTTGATCATGCCGAGACGGCGTAACAAAACAATAGCTCTCTGTCAGATGCATGTCTTTCTGCCACAAGTTTCCAGTTATGGTCGGCCAAACCTAATTATGTAAGCTAAATAATTATCTGTAATATTTGGAAATCAAATCTGATCTGATTATATGCATTAGTCAAGCATTGTTGTATTGTCAAGGAAAAGCATTAGCCATACCTCCATCAGAACCAGCCATACTGGTTGTCAGATTTGTACAGATTCGTAACTACTGAAATCAAAATATTTTATCTTCAGTAGACCTATTTGCATACTAAACACAAAAGGCACTCTACCAGCATATCTGTGGGGAAGATCAGACTACATCTGTCCATGACAGGCCTCGGCGGCAGGGGGCAGGACCATCTGACCCTCTCCAGACCTGACCATCCACAGGATCCATCTGCTCAGCCTGCAACTGACTCCACAGTACCATGTTACACACATAGGAACCCAGTCACAACCCTGCCAGGCACAGCACTCTCTTTGCTTCGGCCTGTTCTCATATTCATCTGCTCAAGACTCCTAAAACAAACTAAATGTACAGTATAACAGCAATGACGCATTCACACTTATCTTGCTCACCTCCATGTCACCTGTCCCTTCTGTCCTGTTACTCATCTCTCTTTCGTTGACCTGACTTTTAAAACAAACATGCATTACACATTCAATATAGCCTACTTACAGTCAGTTTACCACGTTTCTCAACACAGGTTTGTGGCCAGTTTGTCACAACAAACTGCTATTTACATTTTTTCTTGGACAAGTAAACCATAAAAATCAATATATCCGTCCTGTCTGAAACATATTAAACCATTGTTAAAAAAGTATACAAAAATGAACAATTAGCAACTAGCTAATTACTGGTCAAAACGTTTGCTTCTAAAAGTGAACAATATAATTCCCATATAGGTCATATTGCTTACACAACAGTTTAATCTATTATTTTATACAACAGTTTAATGTAAAAAGTACATTTGAATAAATAAATATAACGTTAGAGTAAATTACCTTTCAGACAAACATTTGTGTCAATAATCCAAAACATTAAACTTGACAGTCTGGAACGGGGAGTGTTAATAAAAAGATATTCCCTATGTGTTCTGCGATAACTTCACTCCAGGTTTTCTGTTTCACTGTTGAGAAAAACTTGCTACGAACGAAAGCAAACACAAAAAAATGGAGACACTGGCTTTCCAAAGTCCGATTTTCGCACTACTAGATAAACTCACTTCAGTTCTTGCGCTCTCATAATTTAGAACACAGAAAATACATCCTAATAACGAATCACAGGAGGTACTACACACATAACTGCGACTTAATAGCTTCGATTAACTATTTTATGGTGTCCGGATCATGAACGAATCGTTCTTTTCAATGAATCTGTTGAACTGATTCAAAAACTGTCTGAATAATTCGGATCGAATCGATGCGTGCGCATCTCAAGTCAAGCCCAACTTGAGTGAGCGGATAATAAGAAAATTGTCTTGGAATGAATTTAGTAGTCTGCTGGAAAAATGTTGACGAAATGATTAAGATTATGATACTGTTTTCAACAATCTTACATAACTAGTTGGTTTAAATAAATAGCATTTTATTAAAACCTGCAAAACTATTTCAGCCAAGAAAGTACATTGTTACATAACATTATGTACAATTATGTTTAGGTTCTTAATTATTTAGTTTTTATTCGTTAAATCAGGTTGAAACAAATTGAAATTACAATAAACATCATTATTATCAAGACAAATTCCTTGTGTAAACATAAGCTCTGGGTATCAGCGGTATTTAAAATAATTACAAAAATGCCAGAGTGTACATAACAGCAATGCATTAATCAAAAACTATTATAAATTTGTAAAAACAAAAAATATATTGTAATTGCTTTTTATTGACAACGTTCTCCAACATGCTGCAGTCCTTGGTCTCCTGGAGGAAATACATTAAATTTGGCTTGGATCCTCCTGACCATTTCTCCTTGCGTAAATAAACATTTTCCCAGTCCAAATATATAACCAAACTTTTTTTTACTATTGGAAAAGTTTTACGCCGCGATGTAATGGGCGTCATTACGTCATGACGTACACCGGTCCTACTTTCTTTGAATGAAACTAAATTTCATTCACTAAAAATTGTATGTAATAAACCCAGAAGGCGGTTACATTCAGCTGATCATGGTTACATAAGTGAAACCGGAGAACTTTGAACTACTACGAAAAGTAGGTCACGGCAACTTCATCGTGTTTGTGTGTCAGAAGAATCTCACGAGAGAGACCTAAAGCTGGAAATGTCGTCTGAAGTGTACGACTGTATCGTCATTGGCGCAGGGATCCAGGGGTCCTGCACTGCCTATCAGCTGGCCAAAAACCAGCAGAAAACTCTACTGCTGGAGCAGGTCGGTTACAGCATGATTTGCAGACTTATTATTCATTCCCAAATGTTAGAACAAATGTTAGAAAAGTACCTGTTTTATCTTATCAAGGCAGAATACTCATCTAAAACAGTAAGAAAATGGTAAGACACTGCATTAATTCTTGTATATAACACTTGGGCTCGACTGTTGTTTTTAGTATTATTATTATTATTAAGGCAATGCACATCCAGTGGTATTAGCAAAGACTATAGAATTACAAGGACTGTCATTGGTGTTCTTCGAATTCCCCCTTTTCCCCAGTTTGTTCTGCCCCACTCCAGAGGGAGCTCTCATGGCCAGACCAGGATCATACGGAAAGCCTATGAGGAATATTTCTACATACAGATGATGCAGGAAAGCTATGAGCTCTGGGCTCAGCTTGAGGAAGAAGCAGGTGTTGAGCTGTACAGGTGAGTGCGTCTACGCATCTAATGAACAATGAAAACATTTTCTAACCCCTATGCAACATGTAGACACTGGAAAAACAAGTGTGCCCCACAGTCTGCGAATGATGATGATAAGGGACTAGAATGAAAATGCACCTTTAAAGTTATGGTGAGTGCTATGCAGGTTTCGATGTACAGCGTGTAAAGTACTTCAAAACTTGTCATAGAACTCACCATATCTTTAAGGAGCATTTTCAGTCTAGTCCCTGAGCATCATCTGTAGACCGTGGGGCACACTTGTTTTTCCAGTGTCGGAGAGGTCTAATGGATCACAAGTGGATCAAGCCCACTCAGCCTTGATGCAGAATCAGTCGCCGCTATCCATCTCAGCTCTCTGACGGATGGGTCCTGATGAGAGGCCACCTGTGCCCTTGAGCATCCCAGAGACTGCTGGGCAGGGACTGAAAAATGTGTGGAAGGTTTTGAAGAATGCTGGATTTGTTCTGTTCTTTTCTTCCTATATAGATATTTGCACTACTTAGATGGCACTTGCTTTCCAAATGAGTGGCAGTTGTTATTACTGGTTTGGTCAGGTCTAGTTTTCACACGGGTGGAAGTGTCTGTTGTGTGAATGTGGGGGTTATGCAAAGACGTTTACGCTGGATGCGTCTGTCACAAAACCCATTGGAATAAACATTCAGTGCCTTCCAAAAGTTTAAAAACACTTTTAAGCAAAGTGGGGTTTTTGGATAATAATTCTGTATCATTTCTTGGAGTAAATTTCTTTTTAAATGCATATGGCAACATTATCTTAAATTGAAATATACACTACCATTTAAATGTTTGGGGTCAATATGATTTTTTCATCTTATTTTGACCAAGGCTGCATTTATTTGATTAAAAATACAGTAAAAACAGTAATATTGTGAAATGTTATTACAATATAAAATCATGTTTTTACGTTAATATATTTAGAATTTTCAGCAGCCATGCTTAAGTGTCACATGATCCTTCAGAAATCAATTTATTTTGCTGCTCAAAATTTTTTTTTTTATTATTATCGATGTTGAAAACTGTTGTTCTGCTTAATATTTTTGTGCAAACTGTGGTACATAAATTTTCCAAAGAACTGAATTTATTTGAAATGGAAATCTTGTAACATTATAAATGTTTTACTTTCACTTTTAATCAATTTAATGCATCCTTGCTGAATAACAGTATAAAATCTTACTGACCCCAAACTTTTGAATAGTATACACATCAAAATCAGTTGTTTTTTCTGAAGATTATTGATTAATATCAGCACACCTTTATAGCTTTACAGTTTGCCAGTTAAGGTTATTACACAACAGACCAATTAGAACACAGTTTAGAGATGCTTTATTATAAATAGTCCTAGTCATAGTATGTATTGAATTCATTATTGAAATATACAGTAGTTTGTGTTGTCCATTATCAGTACAAAGTCCTCACAAAATGATATAGATTTATGCTGAAATTGTGCAAAACCCCACTTTGCCTAGGGCGTTTCATCCCTGACACTGTTACAGTTGCTGTTCTGACTCTTATTCTTGATTCATTTTCTTTTTACAATAGATGGGATTCCAGCAGCTTGAACCACCAACTGTTATTTTACCCATAGAGCGACCAAAAAGGTCAAAATTCATAATAAAGCTGTGACAGACAGCACAATGATAGATTTAGCTTTAGCGTGGCAAGGTGTGCAACGAAGGTCAAAATAAATGAGGATTCTGCAATTACAGACGTTCCTAACTATACAGGATTAGAAGTAGTTAAAAACAGCAGGCAATTTTAAGGTTGTGTAAGGAAATTATTCTATGCATGTTTGATTCGGTCAGTATTAAAATGACAAATTAAAAATACATCTTTGAAACACTAATTTACCTCAGAAAGGATGTTGCCCCACCATTATGTGACCTGCCCCTTTTGCTATTAGGGACAAGGGCCTTGACAAATGCTGCATGGAGTCCTTCTTTCAGTGTCCCAAATCAAATACACACACACGCACGCAGTGGGGGATTCAGTCATAAAAATCTCTGATGAATGACTTGGACCTGTGAACTCGTGCTGCCCATGCATCATGATGGCTGGCAGATGAAGTAGGCCTTGAAAAACAGTATCCACAGAAAACAGCACGACCATCTATCACACATTGTTGATTTAAAACCTGTGTTCCCAACCTCTCATCCATAGTGCCATAACTCCTCACATTAAGACACCTGCATCACAAGCAGGCGCATACGGCACTTTGCACAATTTACACATGCCTCAAAGCACTTCCATCTAAATCAAGGTGCAGCTGTTCAACATGGACACGTAAGTCATCTTATGCACTTCCCTTCGCAGGCGCACAGGCCTACTGGTTATGGGTCCAGAGAACAGCGAGGGTTTCTCACGCCTACAGGCCACGATGCAAAGCCACAAGATTCCCAGAGTGGTTTTGGAGAAGCAGGAGTTCAGCCAGCACATTCCCAATGTGAATCTCACCGACGGGAACGGAGCGCTGATAGACACCCTTGCCGGGGTGCTGTATGCGGACAGAGCCCTCCGAGCTGTACAGGTCAGCTGATCATATACACTACTGCACAAAAGTTCAGGGTCTGTAAGATTTTTTGCTAGAAAATGATACTTTTAATCAGTAAGCACACATTAAATTGATCACAAGAGACAGTAAATCATTTATAATGTTACAAAAGTACAATTTTTATTTCAAAGAAAACGTGAGCTTAGAATTATACAGTTCTATCTCCGTTTAGGGTAGTTCTGAGATATTGAGCATCAAAGTTTTTACATCCCTGCTGTTTTGTGATATGGAACCTTTTTATTTTATTAATAACTACTAACAAAATATCTTTTTTTTACAAAAATAACACCACACAGGCATTAATAAACACCTAATGGATAAGATTGTCAAAAACTCAATTTCGACCAAAAGTGGAGATAGAACCTTATAATTCTAAGCTCATGAAATGCTGTTCTTTTTAACTTCCTATGATATCATGATATAACTTATTATGATTTACACAGAAAAATATTAAGCAACACAACTATTTTCGATATTGATCAAGAAATGTTTCTTGAGTACCAAATCAACATATTAGAAGGATGAAGGATCGTGTGACATTGAGGAGTAATGATGCTGAAAATTCAGCTCTGCTATCACAGAATAAAAAATAAAAAAGTAAATATATTAAAATACAATAAATTAATATTTCATTATATGACTTTCCTTAAATTACAGTGTATTCTTGCACGTAAAAATCGATCAAAAGCATAAAAATCTTAGTGATCCCAGACTTTTGAACGGTAGTGTAAAATGAGATATTTTTTTTTTCTTGTTTTAGTGAATCATATTATTAAAATATTTATTTAAAAAATCTCTAGGAGGCTGTTGGAATGTCACACGTCAATCTTATATTTAGCTTGGCAGCTCAAAGCTATCAGATGCTCATCTAATTATGTATGCAAAATGAATAGCCTACATTTGCTACCATTCCAAAACCCCGCTTTGGACCGACTGTGTTTGATCACATCCTTATAGAAGTATCACTGAAATGTTCTCCTCGTGGGAGCCACGGAATCAGTTTTAGCTCACTTGGCAAAGAGGCATACAGACTGAAAAAGAATAACATGATATGACTTTCGGGTATAATTTCAAGTGTAGACTTTTTATTTGACATGTTAGATTCTCTTTTTATGATAAATGCTGTTATTATTATTCAAACAGTTATTTTGGTTGCCAGATAAGAGTGCTCAGCTCTGTTAAAGCAATTCAAGTAGTGTGAAATAAATTCAGTGTACTGTGGAAATAAATCTCTTAGTGTGTGAGACTCCTAAACTTTCACTGTGAGAAATGTTCTTTATGTACATAACTGTACTTCAGTGTCGCCTTCACTGTGCTTTTTAAAGCTCTCGAAGATAAGATATGGCTGCAAAACTTGCTTGTTAAAGGCTCCTTACACCCTATCTAGGGAATATGGCCATGCACTTTTATACACAATGCCTCTCTGGATTCAATAAGCTCTGCCTACAGCAGCTACAGAGTGCAGTGATAAGCTCCCTGTTGGCTCTCACTAAGGAAACTCTATTATCTCTTGCCCGAATCTGACCAGATTTTTCCAGTTTTAACTGATCCCCGTTGACATCTCTCTGTGTCAAACTCAGCCGCTGTTAAATTTTAACCAGGCTCTCCTCACTGACTGCTCTTATTAGGGTTTTCGGTCTTCGATGAGCTGTTTTGAAGAAGTTGAACATCCTGTAGTCAGATTGAAGCGCTTTAATCTGCTTGTGCATGTGGTGTTTGTCCGTGTGTGTTCTCTCAGAGGCTCTTTCAGTCCGGTGGGGGTGTGATAAAGGACGGGGAGAAAGTGATTGACATCACGCCTGGTGCTGTGGTCAGTGTAACCACAGGCTCTGGAGTCTACAGAGGGAGAAACCTGGTGATCACAGCTGGACCCTGGGCAAACAGACTACTGACACACACTGCACTGCAGCTGCCACTCAAGGTGCATACATGCAGTCATCTTCCTCCTTTCATTCATTCATTCTTTCATTTACTCATCTTTCTTTCTTTCACTCACCTACTTTCTTTTTTATTTCAACCATTCACCTTTCATGCATTGTTCATGGATCCATGAATTATTAAATTAATTATTATTAAATTAATTAATTACATCTTTCATCCTTTCTTATTTTCTTATATTTCTTTCTTAACCTACTTACCCTCTTTATTTTGATAATTCATTTATTCATTCATTCTTTCATTTATTTGCTTTTCCATCCATCCATTCATTTTCTCACCTTTTCTTTCTTTCTTTCTTTTTTATCTTTCCATCTATTTGTTATATTTTTATCTTCACCCTCTCTTTATTTCGTCTGTTCATTCATTCATTCTCTCGTTTACTCACTAGTCACTTTTTCTATCCATCCATCCATTAAATTTTTCTCACCTACATTATTTATTTTTTATTATTCTTTTTAATATACTTTCTTTCTTGCTTTCTTTCTTATGTGATTAATTACTCACCTTTTAACATTACATCTTTCATTAATTCATCCATTCTTTTGTCATATTTCTTTCTTTACCTATTTACCATCTTTACTTTGTCAATTCATTTATTCTTTCTTTAATTTATCTTCTTTTTACATCCCTTCATCCATCCAATCATTTTCTCACCTTCTTTCGTCCGTCCGTCCGTCCATCCATCCATCCATCCATCCATCCATCCATCCATCCATCCATCCATCCATTATTTCATTAAATATTTCTCATTTTTTTATGTTTCTTTCAATTACTCATCTAAACATAATTTTTTCATCTTTCCATCCATCCAGTTCTTATATTTCTTTCTTCACCTACTTACCCTCTTTGTTTCTTCTGTTTATTCATTCATTTTCTCAATTACTCACTTTTTCAATCTATCTGTTCATTCACCTTCTTCCTTTCTTCCATCCATCCATCATTTAATTTTTCTCACCTATAATTTCTTTCTTTCTTTCTTTCTTTCTTTCTTTCTTTCTTTCTTTCTTTCTTTCTTTCTTTCTTTCTTTCTTTCTTTCAAGGCATCATGGAACAATATATCAGTGTGAAATGTCTGGGTTTGGAAAACAAGTTCTGAAAAATGTGAGCGTGGGAATATATAAAGCATATTGACTACCAGCCATAGCTTGTGAAACACACACAGCCACATATAGATTGATCTGGATTACACCCCTGGGCAGAATGAAAAGTGAGTTATTTGTGAATGTACAGAAACCACCTCATACTCACCTACCAATCCTATAAACAGCTCCCAGAGTCTCCAGTCCACAGAGATCTCTTATGTGTCAGCCACGAGAGAAGTGATGGAAAAAGTACTCTGTGTTAGTTAAACTCCGAATTGGACCTAGAATTGGAATTGCATTTTTCAGGATAGCACAGGCTTGAAAGTCTGCGCTTGGGTGAGCACGACAATATATGAGCAATGAATTTTTGCACTGGTGAATTTTTATGGTCTCTGAATGAGAAGACAGGCAGGAATATTCTGAGCTACTGAATCTTTACTCCTTATTACATTTACCCTGATGTGAGCTCAATATCAGTGTTTATATTCATTTGTAATTTACATGCTGGTTTTTATCTGTAATATGGGTCATTTCTTTTTGTGCAGGTTGTAAAGATTAACGTTTGCTACTGGAAGGAGAAGATCCCAGGCACCTATAGTGTCAGCCAACGTTTTCCATGTTTTATACAGATGGAGCCGAAAGAAGGGGAATATGATATTTACGGCCTCCCGTCCAATGAGTATCCAGGACTAATGAAGGTGAGTGACAGCAGGGTTGCTGTTTTTAAAAGAACAGGTTTGGTTGGAGCCATGGCCAAGTGGTTAGCTAGCTTGTGGTGCTCAGGTTGAAGTCTGGCTTGCGTCAATCCAGATCCTGTCAGTGTTGTTATAGATTCCTAAAACTAAAACTATTAATAATAGTTTCCATTCAATGAAATAAAGCTGAAATAAAATATAAATATGACATGGACAACTTAAAATACTTCAAACGAAAATTGGCTACTGAGATATCTGACATAAGTTTAAGTTGAAGTACTAAAATTACTAAATCTGAAATAAAAATAAATTAAAGCCAAATATACACTACCGTTCAAAAGTTTGGGGTCAGTGAGAATTTTATTTTTATTTTTTGGAGGAAAGAAATCAATACTTTTATTTATCAAGGAATAATTAATTTGATCGAAAGTGACAGTAAAGACATTTATAATGTTACAAAAGTCTTTTGAACTTCCTATTCATCAAAGAATCCTAAAAAAAAAAACTAAAAAAACTGTACAACTGACAGACCAACAACTGTTTCAACATTGATAATAATAATAAATGTTTCTTGAGCATCAAATCCTCATATTATACTGATTTGTGAAGGATCATTTGACACTGAAGACACTTACACTGGTGATGCTGAAAATTCAGCTTTGATCACAGGAATAAATTACACTTTACTGTATATTCACACAGAAAACAGCTGATTTACACTGGAATAATATTTAATACTATAACTGATTTTTGTTGTATTTTTAATCAAATAAGCGCAGCCATGGTTAGCAGAAGAGAATTCTTTTAAAAGTATTTAAAATCGTACCGACCCCAAACTTTTGAACGGTAGTGTATATATATAAAAAAAACTGCACACACAACAAAATTAAAATAAAATAAAATAAAAGGTAATTTAAAATATTAATAAATACTATAATAGTATATACATTTAAAAAAAAAAACTGGTTCCTGTCCATGCCAAATGGACAAAAGGGTCAAAATACAGGTTAAACCACTTCTTTAGGGACCGTTCACACTGAACATGTTTTTTTCATTGCACCGCGCTACTTTTCCATTGTTTTCTTTGTAAACGCGCTAGACGGACATGTTTGACCGTTGCACTCGCGGCTCACGTCTTTTGTAGCAAAATGTGTCTCTCAAGTTAAAAGTTGTTAAACTTTAAAAAAAAACTCATCTCAAGACCTTGTGGTGTTTTTTTCTTTCCACTGACCTGTGTCTCGTGTTTTTAACTGCAAAAACACGTTCTGTGTGAATGGCCCCTTAGCCTGCTCTTCTATTTGTCCGATGTTTTTAATTTTAAAAAGCACTTCTCCTGGGCAACAATAGATATAGCCTACTCTAAACCACCATAACAATATGTACCACAGACCATTGCGTTACTGTAACCGCCTGCCCACATCTCATAAAAAAGCCACAAAGATTCAACACCACAGTGTTTCATCCTTTGTTAATTAATCCACAATTCCCTCATGTAGCAATACAGTACACATGATCCACACTCAGAGAGCTTTCCTTTCAGAAACCGAGTACATCAGTGACTCTATAGCTCTCCGAATGGATACATGGTCCTTGATGCTTTTACAGAAGCAGAGAAGAAGCACTCTCCTCTGGTCTGTGTTCTCCTGGTACTAATGGCTCGGTTTCAGTATGCAGGAGAGCCCAGCAGGAGTCTTCAGTCTCATCACACTTAGCCAGGCTGAATGGGAGAGCACAGATGGCTGTGTCATGTTAGATGCATTATGTCTGCTCTAGTCGCTGGAGCCTGCCTTCTGCACGTATATCTGCTGCTCCTCCAAGCATACCGAGCGGTGGATCACAGATCCGTAATGTATCATAGGTCAGTTTGGCTTTATGGATCATAGTGTGCATGCATGTGTCTGAGCAGGTGTGTTACCACATGGGCAGCGAGACTGAACCGGATGAGCGAGATAAACAGACGGATAGAGGCGACATCGATATTCTCATGCGCTACATCACCCGCTGTCTCCCTGGGCTGGTGCCAGTGCCCGCTGTGGTGGAGAGCTGCATGTACACGGTGAGTGACTTCATTGCTCGTCCTTAGGTGCCATCACTGATCTGCCAGACCAAACTTTCTTTCTCACTTAAGGAGTATTTGAATGTGTTAAGCCCGGCTAGATCGGCCCAAAGTCCGGCATCCGATCAGCGGGTGAAGGTCTCTGCGTGTTACTGTCTTTTCTCGTGGCAAAGCATTTTTGATTAAATGCAATACATTTCTCATATGAATTCTCTCGTTATTTCATCTGACTCCATAAATGAAAAGGTTTTTTAATGATATCTGTACATCATTAAATATAAGCGAAAGTTTGACTATTCCTTTTAACTCTAATGAAATTATATCAAAGTCAGATAGAATAATCAAGAAGAATTTATTATGTCAGGTAAATTTATCATTCCAATTTCATAATCAGTTCAAAGATAATCGATACAAAACATAAAATTCTCTGGAATAAAGAGAAGACGAACCCGACATTTAAGAAATACATGAAGCTGAGAGATTCGGCCTCTCTTAGCCTCACGGGCTCATCTGAAGTACAGAAAAGGCCCCGAGCCTTTCTGCTACATTTCATTATATAGACAGACCCCATTTCATATGTAAACATGAGTTCACAGTGGAAATTCACCTTAATCACCGTCCCAGACTTACTGGGGGCAGAAGTTGATTTACATGGAACCATTTGCTAACAGTGGGAATTTGTATTGAGTTCACACCTTCTGAAAGCAGGAGGGTTTTAACCATCCACAATCCTTAGTGTGTATGTTATCTCTAAACTCTTAAAAACCTTATTACCTTTTGTTTTACTTGAAATGAGACATTTGTACCAGTCGCACTGAGACATTTCAAATGATACTAAACATGTATAATACTCGATGATAATCATTCACATTAAATGATGTTTTATTAACAAAGTTCGGGAGGAGCACGTTCAGATAATTAAACCTAATTAAACACACGTGGAGCACATTCAGATAATCAAACCTAATTAGACACGAGTGGTGCTTAATCAACGAGTTAAGCGCTGTGTATATATACAGCAAACTTACCTCCGTTCATTGACAGTTTAACAGCATCCCTCCACCACCCCATCTCCTCACTTACAGTCCTAATACTCTTACAACAACGGGGGGAGTACTCTGGGTTCGGGCAAAATTCCGAGCTCGGAGCCCTCCCCCCGGACAGCACGCCAAATACGCATAATCTTTACTCTGTTTAATTGATGTAAGTGTGAACTCGTGAAACCATATAGATTCTTGTGTGAGTTTGGGTGATCTTCACATGGGGAATGAGGGGGAGGAATGTATATTAGGATGAGGGAGGTGAGACCTTCGTCTCAATAGTGCACGAGGGGGAGTTCAAATGTTAATTTTCAGCAAGGTCCTTTGTCTATTTGAGGAGTGGTAGTTCCTCAACCAGTTTTTCCAGTCTTACAAATGCATGGCTCATATTTTATTCTGACATGCCATTTGATTGAACGGTTGCTGGAATTGAACCAAGCCATTAATTTCAGTTGTACATGGGTTTGAAATTGATTTTTTTTTTTTTTTTTTTGACTTCTAGACACTTGGAATTACACCGTCTTAACCAGACATGACCTGATATGGTGAAAAGTGATTAAAGCTATTTCTTTCATGTAAATCTGACTTTTGTCCAAATCAGACATGACCATGACAGGATATTTTGTGGGATGCTTGATTTCCGTTGCTTGAAGACCCGTGTCTCATAGCAATACAGTGAACCTCAAAAATGTACAATTCAGCAAATTTTAACCCCATCCCCAAACCCATTTTCTTTAATGTAAGGCAAAATACAGTGTCATGAAAAAGAAAACATTTTGAAGGGGTCATGACATGAGAAATCAAAACTTCCTTGATCTTTTGTCATATAAGAGGGAGAGGTCTTTGTACCATTAAAACATTCTGCAAGTTTCATAGTTTAAAACACCCTCCTCGTTATAAATGAAATGAAATGTTATGTTGGATATGTGATCTCACACAACCAAATAAATTTGCATATGACTACATTTAAAGCAAAACATTACATTATCAAACCATAAGCCCCGCCCAATGGCGTTCACTCTGACACTTACACTGACTCTGTCTACACTGGATACAGAAGCCCATTTAATGTTTGTTGACGCCCAATTACTTGTCGCTGGAAACTTGTCGCATCACATCTGAGTGGGTCACAGTGTTAGCCTCTCATTGAAAGGCACATTATGCAAGTTTCGCCACAAGAGGTCGCTTATTCAAAACAATAACAAAAGGTGGAGCTTAATGTCGGCGTGGAATCCTGGGAGTTGTCGTCTTCACCTCCACAGCCGATTCAATTCACAGTATTTTATTTCATTCTAATGAAACAGCTGCAACAGCTGAATTACTACTCGTACATGTCACTTAATTTGACGAATTAAATATTTGGGGTAACGCAGTGCTTTACTTGTTCGATATTGATCCATATCGGAATATCATATTAATAAAAGCTGGATGACTTATGTTGCTAAATGCAGATAATTTTTAAATATAGTGTATGGCAGAGAAAATGCTGTATTACTATTACTACAAATAAAGCTCTTTCTGATTATGCCATGTTAGCCACAAAATAGTATTGTTTCTGGACTGCATTTATATGGACTGCGTTTCTGAGGCATGCATGGTACAATGTTACTCGCGGTAAATCGAGAAAACAAGAGATTCAAACAATAAGAACCATGCTGTGTATGTAAGAAGCCATATGCTCATGCTTGAGCTATAACAATGATTAGTTTTCTGTCTATAAGGTATCCGAACAGTTGCTCAACTGTCTGATAAAAAATCTAAAAATGGGAAATCGAGGGTAACGTGGATATGACGTCATTGACGCAATGACACAAGCTGTTACACTGGTTAAAATTGCGCATTTCTCTGGATTTAAACGTTGGGAAAAATTGGGAAAATGTAAGTTCACAAGTCAACAAAATATATTACATTGATCTAGTGGTTTTTGGATATTTTAATCCAAAAAGTGTGCATATAGTGCCTTTGATGCATCAGTACGTCAAAACAGTAAATTCTCTCAAAGCAGGTTTTCAGTTTTTAACTTTTGCATGACCAAGGAAAGTTTCCATCCAGATGGGTGAAATGAGAAAATAATACAAACACAGCTTTATAAACTGCCCTGTCAGGAGTTCCACAGAACACCTGTGAGCACAGTTCAGTATTAAAGCCAGGAACTGAGTGGAACATTAGTGGAGCAGTTCCCGAGAAGCATGCTGCACAGAGCTGTCTTCTTCTTCCATACAATTTACAGAACAGAACAACATCTCAGTCAGCCAACCACTGCATCGATTGCTTTCATACTTCAAAGGAAAAATATAAGTGGCTCGAAATGAATCAAAACAATCATTTCTGCTGAACCGGTCTCTGTTTGTAGTAATCAGAAATGACATTTGTTTAGGACGAAGTGAAAAAGCGTCTTTAGAAACAAAACAACTGTTCAAAAGTTTGGGGTCGGTAGGATTTTTCAATGTTTTTGAAAGTAGTCTCTTGTGCTCATCAAGGCTGCATTAATTTGACACAGTAAAAACAGCAATATGGTTAATTTTTTTTTAAAGATTAGGTTTGAGTATATCTAACATTTAATTTATTCCTGTTATTCAGCATCATTATTCCAGTCTTCAGTGTCACATGATCCTTCAGAAATCATTCTAATATGCTGATTTACTGCTCAAGAAACATTTACTCTATCATTATTATTATTGTTGAAAACTGTTGAGCTGCTTAATATTTTTGTGGAAACTGTGATGCATTCTCTTATGAATAGAAAGTTCAAAAGAACATTTGAATTTATTTGAAATAGAAATCTGTTCAGTGTATCAATGTAAAAGTTTTTACTGTCACTGTAATGTGTCCTTGCTGAATAAAAGTATTAATTTCTTTCAAAACAACCTTTGAACGGTAGTGTACTATATGTCCAACGACGTAGTTAAAATTAAAGTTTGTCATTCCTCAGTCAATTTGTTCATCTCTTAAGCTTATCTTACATTTTTAAGTTCAGTTCAAACAGTGCTCATAATTCATGCCGTGTGCATGTTCAGAGTACGGAAAGGTCACATATTTGCAGAAATAATTACAATCTAGTCTTGATGTTTAACATTCCCCTGCTTCGTTGTTTGTAGGTCACACCAGACCACCACTTTGTCCTTGATTCCCACCCAACCTACGGCAACATCATCATCGGTGCTGGATTCTCAGGTCAGTTCGAGCTCTAATGAACTCTGTATACTCCCGTCCCTGTAAAACACAGGCACACAGTCACAAAGACTCAGAAAGGTGTCTTAACTTTTTAATGAGGGAATGGAACAGGGCGCTGGTGAAGGACAGGAAGCGAAGCCCCCAGTGCGGGGGGCTTTTATCGTTTAATTAAAGGCGGTTGCTGGCTCCCCAGGCGCCTGCGTGCTCCCGAACCCGCCTCTCAGGGGGCCAAAGGGTTCACCTGACATTTGTTCCATCTGTTCACATCACCTCCTCCTTAGACTAATTATGGGGCTAATTAAATTCCACTGGTAATCACTTCAGAGAAGCGCTGGTTAGCAGCACGGGGCGCGGATAGTGGCGTTTGGTGGAAGAAGGGGTTAGGAGGAGAGAAATTCAGTATTATGGCGGCCCTGCGTAGCTATTCATCTTGTGATGCATTGTCTCCAGTTAAAGGAGCTGCTTTGGAGGTGTCACGGAAGCATTGTGTGGCTGCCTCACTTTACCGGTACCGTCCCATTGCTCTGGCACATCGCGCACTAATGATTTATGATATATATTCTTCTGCCTTAATAATACATTACAACTCTGATAGGAGCAGAGGAATGCTCACTATTAACCTCTCCCCGCCTCTTCTCATTTTATTGTCTGCCATAATGACAGTGCTTCGCCTTCCCGCTGCTCTCCTGCCCTCGGCGCAGCTGTTGTATTTGCGGCTTGGGAAAAACTAAAGGGTGCGAATTGGATCAGTTTCAGGGGCAAACACACAAACTACAGAGCTTGGTCTGGAAGTTGCCCTTCTTTCCATTCGGAATTTGTCTCAAGACAATCTCCGAGCTCAAGGATCTCCGGTTGCCATGGATACCCAGTCACATCAGTGGGGTTTAAGCAAGAACAGAAGACCCTCCATGCGCACATCTGCCGGTCAAAGCCATATCCACTCACAGACCAGCCTTGCAGACTTCAAACAGCCACCCAATCCGCAAAGGCAAGAGCTGAGCGCGTCGGAGAAGAAGAATGCAGCGCATTTTAAACATCTCACCCAGCTCCATCTCCATCTCTTTCTTAAAGGGATAGTTCACCTGAAAATTCAAATTCTGTCATTTACTCAACTGTATTCTTTCCGCTGTGGAGCACAAAAGGAGACATTCTAAAGATTGTGCTGGTTGTTCTGTTCCATCCAGTTACTATAAATGGGAACTGAAGCTCTTTCAAAAACATGCAAAAGTATTATAAAAGCAGTTTTTATAAACCATGAATTCTAAAGTCATAGAATAGTTTTGTGTGAGGAACAGACTGAAATTCAACCATTATTCACTCATGATTTGAATTTGAGAATCGTATCAGTTTGAATCTAGTTTTGTGAACCTAAGCAGCTGATTCATTAAAAAGAAAATCACTTAACTATTTGTTCATGAATCAGATATTATTATTATTACTCCCATTAACTCAGGGATGGATAATATCAAGATTTTCTTAGAACTTCAAGAACTTAAATTTCAGTCTGTTTCTCACACAAAACTATCATATGGATTCAGAAGTCTTTGGATGCAGTGTATATTTCATATGGGACACTTTTTATTATATTTTTATGGTGCTGTTGAGTAGAAGCTTAAAAGTCTCTGATCATTGTAATTGCATGGAAAATACAGACAAGTACACTATCATTCAAAAGTTTAGAAAAAAATTTATACTTCTATTCAGGGAGGACAGATTGATCAAAAGTGACAATAAATACATTTATAATGTTACAAATTCAATTTCTATTTCAAATACAAGCTGTTCTTTTAAATAATCTATTCATTTTTGAATATTGAAAGAAAATGTAATACAGTTTCCACAAAACTATTAAGCAGAACGTAACTGTTTTCAATAGTGATATAATAATAAGAAATGTTTCTTGAGCACCACATCAGCATTTTAGAATTATTTCTGAAGGATCATGTGACACTGAAGACTGGAGTAATGTGAATGAAAATACAGCTTTGCCATCACAGGAATAATTTACATTTAAAAAAAAGAAAAAAGAAAACTTATTTTAAATTGTAATAATATTTCACAATATTACTGTTTTGGTTTTTTAAAATAAAACAACTGCGGCCTTGGTGAACATAAGAGACTTTATATAAAAACATTGAAAGATCTTACCGATTTTTGAACAGTAGTGTACATTATTACTTATTTCTGAATGAAAGATTGGTATGGAATGACATGAGGGTGAGTAATAATGACAGAATTTTCATTTTAAGCTAAATATATCTCTTTAACACAACAAGAACCATGATATAATGAAGCCTCTGATAGTCCACTCAATAAAGGAGAACAATATTCTTAATTTACTGTACCATTTTGCCAAAACCCACCCAAAAAATAAACGTCCCATGACAGCGGGTGTGATGGTGCCAGCATGATTGGGGGTTTCTCTCTCTCTCTCTCTCTCTCTCTCTCTCTCTCTCTCTCTGCTCTCTCATGCAAAGGCGTTCTGAGTCAGACCATGGACGACAGATAATGGCTATTTATAGAGGTCCATTGTACATTCCCGTGAGGTGCGGTTCTTTTACCCCAGTGGATTGAATGAATGTCAAATCCATCCTATGATGACTCACCTCTTAGTAAATTTTTTTTTTTTTTTTTTTTTCATTCTTTCTCCACAGGCCACGGCTTCAAGTTCGGCCCTATCATAGGGAAGGTGCTCTCTCAATTGGCCATGGGGCAGGTTCCCTCACACGACCTCTCACCTTTCGGTATTAAACGTTTCCAGTCCCAAGCCAGATCTTCACTTTAAGTCCAAGACCCTACAATGACAAAGCTGCATTTTATATATTAATAAAACAGAATGTTGATGTCTGACTGTGCTATGTAATTCATTAACCAAGAACACTGTAAGGAGGCATGGTGGTCACCGTGATTTTGCCAAGACATGTTCCTGGGTCGACATATTTTGTTGATCTTGGAACAACATTCCTGTCCGAAAATTTAGTCCTAACCCTATCCATAACTAAATGGAAATATCAATAGAAACTATAATAGTATCTCAATTATACTAAAATAACACTGATTCGACTACACATTTCTCTGAATGCCCATCCTTTCATGAGATCTCTTAAATCTACTTTGCACTTCATCAAGCTGTTTTTTAATGCAAAAATGTTAATTATGTGTACACCACCCTAATGTGATTATATGAATTAGGATTAACCATTTTAAATAAAAACCAACCTCATCTTCTTCTTCTGTATCGTAGTATAAATGAATCAGTTCTTCTGTATGGTGCCATTTTTTTAAATCCTTTTAGTCACTAATAAGAACAAACTTGTAAAGATAACTCAGTTAGCCAGCAAAATTATTGGTGTTTCAACTTACAGTTTATCTGACTGTTAAGTCATTCATGATCTGTAAAGTGTTGACAATAATTATACATGATTCTGATCATCCACTTCATCAATATTTTACCCCCCTCCCTTCTGGCCGTAGGAACAGAATACCCATGTGTAGAAAGTCTAGTTATAAGAGCTTCATCCCTACTTCCATACGGGGTTTAAACAAACCATTCAATGCACAGAGAGGATCAGCCATTTGGTGTGTTAATTATTGTATAATTTTGTATAAGTCTGAATGTTCTATGTGTCTTTATTATGTATGCACCACTGTGGAAAAGAAGTTCCTCTTTGAGGACAAATAAATACATCATCAATTAAAAATGTCTGTTTTCCCCATTAACGTTCGTGTAAAAAGCCTGCTGAGAATCCTCTAACTAACTTATACGAAAACTCAATGCCTTCAGGAGAAGGATGACGGATCAATAACCTCCAATGCTGATCGCAAGAGCAAGTCCGCCATGTTTCAGCATCTGCTACACTGACAAGGGAGCCATTAGCCTCCTGCAATGAGTTTGTAACAGTATCGTCTGATACTGTCTGATTGTGAAGGCATTCATCTGTGGCCAGCAGCATTAAAATTAAAGTGCACACTTGTCAGTTTTTATGATTTTGCACATTACTCCTCCTCGACGCCTCAGAGAAGGAGGTCTGGTGGCAAACGGGGCGTATTGTTAAAAAGACATCAGCCGTTGAGCTATTTGTCTTTGAGAAGTCAGCGTCATTTGTTGACTTGCTGCCTGGACCCATTTTCCCCTGTAAACATGTTAATCACTAATCAGGCAGCCTTTTACTCTAGACGTCCACCGGCACCATCAGGGGGAATGAGGAAATTATACAATGTGACAGCAGGTTACCAGGGGCCCCATTCATCCTCCTGGTTAGAAGTTAGCGTGCATTGATAGTATTAGTGTATTGATGGCCGTATTAAAATGCCATCAAACATGCAGGAGCTAACGTTTATCACCTCTGATGAGTGTGAACCTGATGCCATGAGAGCGTCAGGAGTTATTGTGAAGGCAAAGGCTTCATTGTATTGAGGTTAAATGAATGCAGCTCCAGACCTCTTCATTGGCTCGCTTATGCGTGGAAGGGTCCTTTCCGTGGCTTGGGTCTAACGGAGAGCTTTTTTCCTAGAAAAGTCCAAATAGCTCTCCAATGATAAAGGAGATGTTTAAGGATTGAGAGAGAATCGGGTTGTTCGCTGGTAAACGTGCTCTCTCAAACAATGCAGGTGCGGGATGCCTGAAGGAAGACGATTTTAATATATTTTCAAATGTAATTTGTTATTGTGGTGGCAAAGCTGAATTTTCAGCATCATTACTCCAGTCTTCAGTGTCACATGATCCTTCAGAAATCATTCTAATATGCTGATTTGCTGCTCAAAAAAAAAACATTTCTTATAATTATCCATGTTGAAAACAATGCTTCACATTTTTGTGGAAACCAGGAAATTTTATTTTCAGGATTCTTTGAGGAATGTAAAGTAAAAAAGAACATCATTTATTTGAAATGGATTTGTAGATTCTGTCATGTAGTTCAAGTCTATTACACTAACATTACACATTTGTCTTGTAGTATTACAGAATTCATTTCAATGAACAGAAATAGACATTTCTTGATGCATGCGATAGAGGGTTAAAGCAAAATTCTGATGCCAATCTATCAAGTGTTTTTTCATCAGCCACCACTTCATAGCAGAGAGGAGGATGACGAAGACAACTGTAACTCAATCTAAAAACTCATAGAAATAAGTACAGGCTGCTGTTTTTCTTATAAGCATATCACTCTTGCTGTGTTTCCCTCTCTCGAATATTGCCCTCTCCAGGGAAATGGCAAAAAAAATGGCCTTCTGGAAGTTGTCATTGTATCGGGTTGACATGCACAAGGATGAAGAAAAGCGCACATTGACTGACAACAGAGACAGAAAGGCTTGTGTTGCTATGGTGATGAGAGATGTTTACCTCTGTATTGGACTGGACAGATTGGACAGGGGGTTTAATTTAAGCACAGGGCTCAAACCGCCTGCCTGTGATTTGGATTGACCTTGACTGAGGATGCATCATGACATTGCCTCATATAAGCAACACATCCTCTCAAAAAATGAAACAAGTTGTAGTTTTATTTTGAGCTGTCATATTTCTCTCTTGCTTGTTGTTGCAGCATTTGTCATTTAGCAATGACTATTCATTTCTCTAAGAAAATGGAAAGTTTCAGAAATACAAATGTACAACCTTTGACAGCTGTTTACGATTCAGCCTCAATTATCGCCCCTCGAGAACAACTGAAGTGCTTTACAGCTATAGGACAGGAAGAGCTAAATAAACTTATTACATCTAAACCAACTGCAAGCTTACTAGATCAAATACCCCCTACTGAAAGAGTTGTTACCTGCAGCAGAATAGCCCCTTCTCAATATTATTAACTCATCTCTATCTCTGGGTAATGTCCCGGGACCTTTTAAGCTGGCAGTTATTAATCTTCTCATTAAGAAACTACAACTAGATCCAAATTAATTGGCAAATTACAGACCCATTTCAAATCTTCTCTTTGTCTAAAATACTAGAAAAAGTTGTGTTCGATCAATTGTACACCCTCCTGCGAAAAAAAAAAAAGAAAAGATATCTATGAAAAATTTGAGTTGGGATTCAGGCCCCATTACTTACTTTTAGTTTCTGACCAAGGTTGCATCTCATTACTAGTTTTACTTGATCTTAGTTCTGCTTTTGACACAATACATCATGACATTACACTGGTATTCAGGGACAAGCTTTTAGGTGGTTTAGATCAGACCGTTACCATTTTGTTTATTTAAACAGGGAATTATGCAAGGTAACATCAGTAAATTATGGAGTGCGGCAAGGATCTGTGTTAGGCCCTCTGCTATTTTCAATATACATGCTGCCCCTTGGTACCCTGGTTAAAACCAGACCATTCTCAGTTGTAACTGAGTTATGGTCTGGCAAAGCGTCATAGACAAATCATTTCCAGAGGGGCGTCACCAACGGACGTCGTGGATAGACCTAAAACCAATCAGAGTGATGAAGGAGATGACGTATGCAGAGCGGCGGAGAAACATCTCTGAGTGTTGTTCTTTGCTCGGTTTTTAACAAAAAGGAAACGTTCAAATCGCTTAAAACAGACGCGATAGCTGATTCGAACGAGCGATGTTCGACGGCGGCATCCATCTTTGTAATGTAGGCTACAAAATCTGCTTCAAAATCCCAGCGCTGTCGTCATCTCGATTTCGACGGATTGGAAATGGGTTTGAATGAGCTCTTTGCCAGACTAACTTTCAGAGCAAATCTAAATTTGCCGAAGTTGTCTGGGTTTTCCCAGGCTAGCCCCTTGGTAATATTATTAGAAAGCATGGAATTAGTTTTCACTGTTATGCCGATGATACTCAGTTATACATTTAATCATAACCAGATAAAATCCCTAGATTATCCAATATCCTATGTCTTCATGACCTCTAGATTACTGTAATGCATTACTAGGTAATAAACAAGCTACAGTTAGTCCAAAATGCAGCTGCTAGAGTTCTTACTAGGTCAAGAAAATATGATCATATAACACCAATTTTATCATATACACTGGTTACCTATTATGTTCCGTAACGATTACAAAGTATTGCTACTGACCTATAAGGCCCTAAATGGTTCAGTTCCTGTGTATTTAACCGATCTTCTATCGCCCTACAATCCATCACGCTCTTTAAAGTCACAAAACTCTGGACTTTTGGTAGTACCTAGGATATCTAAGTCCACTAAAGGAGGGGGAGCGTTTTCACATTTGGCTCCTAAACTCTGGAATAGCCTTTCTGATAATGTTCAGTCTCCCACTTTAAATCTAGATTAAAGAAACATCTCTTTAGCCAAGCATTCAACTAATACATCTCATAACCTTGTACTCCAGTTATATCAGGTGAAGTGCACATGATTATCTTTTGCTTGAAATATTATGAACAGCAGCTACGCTGATTATTTTCCACTTGCTTTTCGGTTTCTAACTCGGGATGCCAACTAGATATTATGCCAGCTCCAGTTTGGATCCAGTCTGTTACGCAGATTTCAGAAGCCCCAACACCTGTGAAGAGAGGACTCCAACCCCTGCGAGGACTTTAGATAGCGCGAATTGCGAATCAACACACACCACTGCCAAATTTTCTATATATTGTAATACTTATGATCACAACTTGTAATATCTTCTTTAATGATATTGTTTTTGCCTAAATGAATACATGATGTTAGCTAACTGCAAGATTTGTATTATCTCAGAACTGTACATATCTGGACATATGGATTTCACTTGGACACCTCTGATAACACATTACTCTAAATTATAATAGAAACATGCATTTTCTGTAAAGCTGCTTTGAAACTATATCTATTGTGAAAAGCTTTATACAAATAAATGTGAATTAAAATTGAATTAAGATTATTGCAGGTACATTAGCAACGTTTTATTATTTTAAG